CTTGTCCTTTATATACTCAATGTGATTTTCAGCAGTATCCTCTCTGTTCTTTATTGATTTTAATAATATTTTGCATTTTTCTATAGCATTGTTAATTTCTTTAGAGTTTTCTTGGCTTGGCCACTTCTCTATTTTTAAATCCCCCTCCTCCTCACCACTACATAGAGTTCTATATGAAGTAGGTATTATTTTACCATCAATACTTTTGAAAAATGGAGGTTTAATGAGATTACAGAATTTACCCATGGTTACCTAACTTGTAAAGTCTACAAAAGGCACAGTGTATGGATGACTAAGGTATAGAGTAATACTTAATTTTCAGCTAGCATTTCAATAGTAATTAGGCTACACACAGATTCTCCCAGTATCTTTCCTACTACTATCAGAGAGAATACAGAGCCAGGTCAACATAATAGCTTATGAAAACCTAAAATAACTCCAAGACTTTCCATTTCCTACACCTGGAGCTAAAGTAAACTTAATTTCCTTATTTTATTTTATTTAGCAATTTAAGTTTCTAGAATTAAGTTAATCAACAAGACTCTTATGCATAAATTAAGTCAATGCTCTTCTGTAGTATCCTTACCATATAAACAAACAAAAATGTAAACCACACCTCAAATATCAGAAGTAATCTTATTCTATATACAACTTTGCTCTGAAAACAAGAATAGATTTCTTCCAAAGTTAAACATACTAGAGTGGACTAATTAGTTCCAATTTTCACTCTTGGAGTTGAAGGTACCAGTCAACCTGAGCAACTCTCGTTATTCTTTTACATTTTTAGGGCTGGCATATTCTAGATTTATTTCAAATGCCCTGTTTTTCTTAAATAGACAAATCTTGTAAATTAGATGGTTAGAAGAGTTCTTTTATAAGATTTGTTAATTCAGTGTATTTGTATGTTTACTTAATTTTGCAACTTCTGAAGCAAGTTATGTCCTGTATCTTCTCTATAGGAGATACAGAAGGTACAGGACACAACGTATTTCAGAAATGGCAAAATTAAGTAAACATACAACTAACCTGAGTAGATATTATCTACATAAAAGTCATGGAATACTCTGACCAACAGTTTAAGGCTAAGTAAACTAAGGATCATAGAGTTCATTTTTAGTGAATAATTCTTTTCATAGGAATGCTGGAAATGAACTATACAACATTAGTAAAACCTCAAGGGAATAGAATAATATCAGGGATATAAAACTGAGTAATAAAAAGATTTCTAAGGATGAGAAGAAAGAACTGCCATGTTTGAGTACTCCTGCCAAGTGGGCGATTTTGTGGGATTTCTGCAACTTGGAATCTGTTGTGGTTTGAGAGAAGGAGGGGAGCATTTCACTAGTTGTTTATGACTGCCTCATTCCAACTAAAACATAATTCTCTGCATAACATGTTCTTTTTTAGTTTAGAGAAATTCCCACATGGAATTCATCAGATACAATAAAATAATGTACTTATTCCTGTTCAGATCTTGGAGACAGAGAGAGTTCTACTTTAAAAGTGTAACCAAAGTATAATTTATTTTGCAGTTCTATGATACTATATTTTTGTCTGTCTTTCCTAGAGGACTTTGGGTGTATTAACCAATAAATATATTTTAGGAATTAAAAATTTTTATTAAATTGTTTTAGAGTTCAAGAAAAACAAAAAATACCTTGCTTACATCAAGGACCAAAATCATTAATCCACTGATATTTATTGCACTTGCCATTTTGTGGGTGATGTGAGAGGTCTAAAAGTTTCTTGACCTCTAGGAAATGGATAGATACATCATGTGAAACAAATAGAAAATGATGAGGTGCTAAAAACAGAGTGGGACTCAGAAGAGGTCAGAGAAGTGAAAAATTGAAAAGTATTTACCCAAGAAAAGGGGATTGACTTACGCTTTAAAGATAAGTAAGATTTAGAAAGCGCTAGAGGTAGTAATTTGATTAGGTAAAGGGAATCATATAACTTAGGCTATGTTGTTTAGTGAATATGTCACATTAAAGAGATAGGAATTACATTATGCCTAAGTAGGGCAAAAATTTCATGCTGGAAAGTAACAGAAAATGAGTGTGGAAAGGTATGTTGACTGAAATTTGATGGATCAAGAAAGTAAGGAGAGTGTAAGTTTTGATTTGCTGTTAAAGACAATAGAGAGCCATTGTCAGTTCTTGAGCACATAAATAATATGTTTAAAATTATGTTTAATAATAGTGTTGGTTACAGATTAGAATAATGAAAAGAGAATGAATCAAAGATGACCTAGAGTTTTAAGTAGAGTAAGAGGCACTCTTCAGTTTATAAAATATGATCTTAAGTTTGACAATTTACTATGTGTCTGAGTATACATTCCATCCATAGGTATTGCTTATAGAGGAATACTGTATTTCAGAATTCTAAAGTAAATTCTTGAATATAATCTATAGTCTTTTATGCTACACAGTTTTATAATTGGTCTTTCTTATCACAAATATCAGTAATTTAATTCATATTTACTGAATGATTCTTGGATTCTTGACACTTAAAAAAAAAAGCTAAGGATTTTTAAAACAGAGACACATGGACAAAGTCTAGATAAGGATTATCAAACAAACATATAAGATGATCCATCTTTTTCCATCAGCAAACTTACTTCTTCAAGACCAAGTTAAATACCACCTGCTCCTTAAGTACTTAGCAGACATCCCAGAAAGAAACGGCTACTTTCATGAATTTCTTAATGCCATCATAAATTTCTTATTGTAGCATTTTAATGGCCTTTAGTGTTTTATAGTATTTTTCATCTTTGTGGGGTTTATATTATTTAAATTTAAGTATGCTATTATTCATTTCATAGGTGGTATGTGTCATTTAGATTATAAGCACGTCAAGGATAAATCAAGGGCAAAACCAAGAGATGTTATTTAATGAGTCTGTATTTAGTCACAACTCTTAGTATATGGTAGGCACTCAATACTATTCATAAAATAAATAAAATGTAAATATTTTCTCATCTTCCTTAAGTACTACTGCGATTGTATCATGGTAATTCACAACAATTACCACGTTTTAAAATGGATTAAGAGGGAGAGTAACAAATGCCTCCTTTGTTCAAAATGTCACAATTTAAAATAAAAAAAAAGTACCTGGAGAGAAAACCATTCTTCCATGAATGAGAGTGGATGTATGCAATTTAGTTAGAATACTCCCTGATATATTCTTGATACTCAATAATATTTGGTGTTTTTTGGTGTAAAATATGTTATGCCCTTTGAAAAATAAACACTGAAGAAAAGAAACAGGCAGCGTCCAAGATAAGTGGCCAGGAAGAGTAGAGCATACAGGTAGATTTTAAAGATAAAGTCAGTAGGAAACCTAAAAGAGATTGTTAGGAGGAAAGGATATATACTTAATACAGTTTATGAAGATCTATTAGAGATTTTTACAGAATTGACTGTTTTGTAACCAGCATGAAAAGACTATAAGTGTTAATGGGAGGAGAAAAAAACAGTCAGTCTTAATAATCAAGGAACTGAGCTAAATTAATTGTTCATACAAGTAGACTATAGTATTGCAGATAATATAAAAAAGAAAATTATCTCCAAATCATTCTTTTTAAAGTTTAAAATATATTAAGCATCAGTTAGTCTGTGTTAGATAGTCTAATAGTCTTTGAATTCATAATATACATAAAATACATAATATATTACCTAATGTTTTCAGAACACAGTATATATTTCTAAACAAAACCACATGTCAACAGCTCTCTCAGAGGAATAAAAATAGTTGTCTGGAATCCATGTCTTCTGCTTTTCTTAACTTTTTCCTGGTACATATATCATGCTGAAAATTGTCAACACCCTCTTTGAAGCTATGTGAAGAAAATGGTAGAAGAGGAAACTAATATTTATTGAGCACCCGCCATGTGTAATAGAGCTAGAATAAGCATTTCATATTCTTTATCTCATGTTAATCTTCATAACAGACCTGTAAGATAGGTGTTATTATCCCCATATTGTTGTTGAAGAAACTGAGGCCCGGATAGATAATGAAATGTGCCTAAGTCCCCATCTAGCAAGTGACAGAGCTAGTATTCAATGCCAGTCCAAGCTCTTTCTACCACATTGCACAGCCTCACTCATAAAATGGCAACTGGCTAAAAAATTCAAATGGTTTTACCTATATTTTAAAAGAGATTTTAGTTATTTCATTCTTTACTAAATGGATTGGAGAGTTGATAGTGGAGAGATATATCTTCCAAATTGATACAAAAAACAAACCTTAACTATACTGCCCTTTCAAAAAATTAATTTTCTGCATTCCCAATCACACTTTTCTGTATTGAGAGATCATTGAATTCTTTTAACATCCAAAAAATACTTTCCAGTGTGAAAAATATATGGAATATAAATAGAATAGATGGTAAATCTCTAAACAAAATTGAAAGCAGGTTTTGTGGGATTATGCATGGTAACGGGATTTAGGGTAGGATAGTCCTTAACCCTAAAAGATCTAAAAGCAACCAATCTACCTCATGTGGCATTCATGTGCCAGAAGAGTGCTTGGTATATTGCAAGCAATCCATCTTTTTTGTCTGAATGAATGAATACCCTTGTGGTGTCCACATCAATTTCTGGTCAAGAACTGTTTGGCAAATTTCAAATTCTTTCTAATTAGAAATACCAGAGTATATTTAAATGAAAATACTAAAGAAATGCTTTTTTTAAATTATAAAGTACACACAACACATACAATATTGCATGTACACTTCAATGACATTGATTACATTCTTCAAGTTGTGCAACCATTTTAGCTCTATTTTTCCAAATTATCACACCACCATTAACATGTCTTCAGTGTAGTCTAAGCAAAAACCCTCCCATTCACTCTCTTCCCCCCTGGTAAACACTAATTACTTTTGGTCTCTATATAAAGAGCAATGATATTTTGATTGTTTAATTCTATACTTACTGAAGACAAATTTAAGTTCATCAAGATAAAATGAATCAAGCATGTTCATATTTCTTTTCTAGTGCTCAGCTTCCTGTGGTAAAGGTATAAAGTATCGTGAGGTACTTTGCATTGACCAGTTACAAGGAAAATTAGAAGAAAAGTATTGCAGTCATCTACAGAGACCTCGAACTCACAAAGTTTGTAGATCTGGCAGATGTCCTTCATGGAAAGCTAATAGATGGAAGGAGGTATGCGATGTATTTTATAATTACATATGTATCTTTGCAGTGAAAAATCTTAATTTATCTTGTATGTTTTAAATAACCTTGAAAAAATTTACTTTCTTAAAATGTGCTTTACTCTGTTCTACACTCTTTTGCATGATACTCTGAATCAATACTATACAGGCTAACATATCTGCTAAGCCTATAGTTAAATGGCGACCCCATGTGTATCAGAGTAGAACTGTGCTTTATTGAGTTTTCAATCACTGATTTTTTGGAAGTAGATTTCAAAATCTTTCTTCCAAGGATCCCCTAACCTTTGAGGATTTTATAAAAAAAAACTCTGCTTCTGAATACTTACAGGGCTACTGATGATTGTGATACTATCCTTGGTAGAGATGATTGTGATACTATCCTTGGTAGACTGACAGTAAAAATACATGATGGTATATCTAATGATTACCTTATTTCCACTCTAATGTCTTAGATTCAAGCTAAGATTTTATCTTGGAAAAGGGAATTGCATGTTTCAGATGGGATTGTAATTGGAGTTGAGAGGGAGCTATGCTAAGCTAGGTAGCATAGGCTCGGCTAAGGCTAGAATGAATGAACACACTCGGAAAGGCTAAGCAAAAATGAAGCTGATTCATAGATGAGATCCAGGTTGAGAACTCAGTCTGTATAAGAAGAATGATTGATGTCTGCCCTGGCATACGCAGAGAAGAGAGCTCAAAATCTAAATGGGTGGAAAGTATGATTTTGAAAAACCAGCTCAAACTATTGGAGAGGTAAAGCCATGAATGAAGTCAGAAATATTAGCTCCAATAATTTCCAGAGACCTAATTTCAATGGGGCTAGCCTTTCACCTTTCTCAAGCTGAAAGAACTGAAGAAAAAATTCAAGCCTTGAGATGCAATATTGAAGAATTCTATGGGCAAAAAATTAAATGATGCAGGAAGCATCAAAAGAAGATGGAAGAAATACACAGAGGCACTGTACCAAAAAGAACTGGTCAATGTTCAACCATTTCAGGAGGTAGCATATGATCAAAACGAATGGTATTGAAGTAAGAAGTCTAAGCTGCACCGAAGGCACTGGAGAAAAACAAAGCTCTAGGAATTGACGTAATACCAATTGAAATGTTTCAAGAAACAGATGCAACACTGGGAGAGCTCACTCATCTATGCTAAGAAATTTGGAAGATAGCTTCCTGGCCAACCAACTGAAAGAGATTCGTGTTTGTGCCCATTCCAAAGAATGGTAATCCAAAAGAATGAGGAAATTATGAAACAATATCATTAAAATCATGCACAAGTAAAATTTTGCTGAAGATCATTCAAAAACGGTTGCACTAGCACATTGACAGGGAACTGCCAGAAATTGAACCTGGATTCAGAAGAGGACATGGAATGAGGGAGCTGATGTCAGACGGATTCTGGCTGAAAGCAGAGAATACCAGAAAAATGCTTACATGTGTTTTATTGACTATGCAAAGGTACTCGACTGTATAGATCATAACAAATTATGGATAAAATTGAAAAGAATGGGAATTTCAGAACACATAATTGTGCTCATGCAGAACCTGTACATAGAATAAGAGGCAATCATTTGAACAGAATGAGGGGATACTGCATGGTTTAAAATCAGGAAAAGTGTGTATCAGGGTTATATCTTTTCACCATATTTATTCAATCTGTATGTTGAGCAAATAATCTGAGAAGCTGGACTATATGAAGAAGAAGGGGGCATCAAGATTGGAGAAAGACTCATTAACAACTTACGATAATGCAGATGACACAGCCTTGCTTGCTGAAAGTGAAGAGGACTTGAAGTAGTTACTGATGAAGACCAAAGACTACAGCCTTCAGTATGGATTACATCTCCACATAAAAAAAACAAAAATCCTCACAACTGGACCAATAAGCAACATCATGATAACTGGAGAATAGATTAAAGTTGTCAAGGATTTCATTTTACTTGGATATACAATCAACACCTATGGAAGAAGCAGTCAAGAAATCAAATGATGTATTGCATTGGGCAAATCTGCTGCAAAAGAACTTCTTAAAGTGTTGAAAAGCAAAGATGTCTCTTTGAGGACTAAGGTGTGCCTGACCCAAGCCATGGTATTTTCAGTCTCCTCGTATGCATGGGAAATCTGGATGCTGAATAAGGAAGGCTGAAGAATGGATGCATTTGAATTATGGTGTTGGAGAAGAATATTGAACATACCATGGACTACCAGAAGAATGAACAAGTCTGTTTTGGAAGCATTACAGCCAGAATGCTCCTTAGAAGCAAGGATGGTGAGACTTTGTCTCACATACTTTGGATATGTTATCGGGAGGAACCAGTCCCTGGAGAAGGACATCATGCTTGGTAAAGTAGAGGAAGACCCTCAACTAGATGAATTGACTCAGTGGCTGCAACAATGGGCTTGTGAGGGTGGTGCAGGACCAGGCAGTGTTTTGTTCTGTTGTATGTAGGGTCACTGTGAGTCGGAACTGACTGGAAGGCACCTAACAACAACAACAGCCTTTCACCACACCCTGCTCTCAGCAGTACTACCTCAGATGCTAATCCGTTTCTCAAAGGGCTTAGTCCTGGTAAGAGAAAAATAAATCTATCTTCTGCCTATGGAATGTCCTTGTCTCTGTCTGATGTTAGAGGTACATCTATTGGGAAGCAAGGGGTTCGGACAGGAGCTAGAAAAAGTAGAGTTCCCCTGGGTTCCTAACTCATCACCATCTACTCCTTGAGGTTAGCGACTTGGTATTGAATAAAAAGCTTCCAAATCGAGAGTGAGAATCTCAGATTTCTTTGAAGAAGAGGGAGCTTTTGTTAAGAGCTACTGTCTTGAGAACTAGGACTGATATTTGACTTAAAAGTAGGAGCAAGAAGAACTAGATGGTGCCCGGCTACCACTACTGACCATTCTAACCAGGGACTGAATAAATGGTCCTGGATAGAATGGGAGAAAAATGTGTAACAAAACTCAAATTCCTAGAAAATGGCCAGACTTACTGAACCGGTAGAGACTAGATGAACCCCCGAGATTATTGCCCTGAGATACTCTTTGAAGTTGGAGCTCAAACCACTCCCAGAGGTCACCTTTCAGCCAAATGACAGATTGGCCCATACAATAAATAATATCACCAGTGAGAACAGTGCTTCTCAAATAATTGTTCAGATGAAACCAAATGGTTAACATTTACCCTAGACCAAAGACGAGAAGGCCAGGGGGTACAGGGAAACTAGATTAATGGAAACAGAACAACCAAAATGGAAATAACAAGAATGCTGATATATTATGAAGAAAGTAACCAATATCACTGAACAATATGTATAGAAATTGTTAAGTGAGAACCTAACATCCTGTCTAAACTTGCGCCAAAAACACAATAAAATATTTTTTTTTAAAAAAGAAACCAAACGGAGAAAAATAACACCAGGAAGCTTAGCGCCAATGGGACACCACAGCCTCTGGCTGCTGCTAAAAGCATCTCACACACCATACCGGATAGGACAGTATTAGTTTTTCAAAGAATACATATAAGGAAAAAGAGGTTGGTTTTTCCTTCTGGAAATGTGTAGCACTTAATTGTCTCAGAATGCTAGACTTGAACCAAAATTGTATTTCTGCAGTTTTGTTCATAGTGTTGATTCTCAAATATTTCATAGTTATAATCTCATTTACGGAACCCTATAATCTCTTGAGTTCATACAGATAATACAATAGAGACATTGATTTTGTACTGCTCAGGGAATCAGGACAGTCAGATAATTGTTTCTAAAGGAGTTAGTGTTTGCCACAGGCTAGTGAAACTTACTAGACCAAGAAAATATACTGAATCTGAGGAGCAGGATGCAGATAGGCGCTCTCCCATAGACTAAATTCTCCTGCACACCTACATATGGAAATACAAACTAACGTACTTCTCATGTAAACTGTGTCAACTGAAAGAAACTCCCCTCTCTGCTTTTCTGGCCTGCTTGGCAGAATGTAACAAGGGAATTTTGCTGAATTAAACTTTGTATTAAAAAAAAAATTAGGAACAAACATTTCTGCTTTTCATCTGACAAGAATGTATTCTTGAGCATTTGCTTCTGCATTGAATTTTGGTCAAATAAACTATTTTTAAAAATTTTTTAGCAGAGCCCAAAATTTAAAAAATATCCCACATTAACCTATTTTATTTAGTAAATGTCATTACTAACTTCTAAGTTGTTCAAGAAAGAAAAACTGGATCCATCCTTGTCTCTTTCTCCCTTGCCCTGACATTTAGTCACTCAGCAGGTTCTCTCAATTCCCCTATCGAAGTCACCCCTGAATCTCCGTTGCAACCATCTCAGTCTAGCTCATCATCACTTGTTCCTGGCCTGTGATGGTCTCCCTACATATACTTTAGCCATTATTATTATTATTATTTGCGTATAGTGTGAGCTTAGAAGAACTCAGATATGACTGTGTCATTTAATATCTTCCTTCTATGACTTTGTATTATCTTTAGGGGCTAAGTCTAGAAAGTAGCCTATACCTACTTCTTCAGCCTTATCTCAGGCCACAGTTTTTTTCTCTTTTAGAGACAATAGACGTATTTTTCACTAAGCAGCTAGTTTAGTATCTGGATTAATACTTCTTACTTTGAATATTGTGATTTCATTTGCAAAAGGAGTCACCATCTCTTCAAAGCTAGTCGCCCTCAGGTTGGCTCTGATTCATGGTGATCTCATGTGAGAGAGAGTAGAACCGCACTCCATTGGGTTTTCAGTGGCTGGTTTTTCAGAAGTAAATCACAAGGCCTTTTTTCTGAGGTGCCTTTGAGTGAATTTGAACCTCCAGCATTTCACTTAGTAGCCAAGAATATTAACCATTTTTACTACCTAGGGACTCCTACTATCTTTTAATTTATATTTATCATATTGTGGCTTTAATTAATGTGGGGTTTACCCTACATTATCTTGACCAAGATGTGGCAAAATAACAGCAAAGTAGTTTTCTCCAAGAGAGTGCCATACCGTAA